CCTGCTGCTCTTTGGGGCAGTGCCTGGTCCGCGGCCACGTTGCTGCTGCCGCCTCTGCCAAACGCTTCCTCCAGAACCGGCGATAAAACCGCGGGGCTCCGTAAGCCCTGGCCGGCCGTCCAGATGGATTAACGAGAGCGGCCCCTGGCAGTCGGGGCCTCAGCAGCAGCTGGCGCAGCAGGACTGGCTCTGTGCACGGGGGCAGCCGGGGCAGGTCACCTCTGCGCCTTACGGGACTTTCCCCAACACCACAGGACGGGAGCCCGTCTGGGGGTGGGGCGACCTCTCACTGGGCGGTGCTCTCCTGCTGGACGGTGGGTCGGACAAACGTGGGAGGCAGTGCTTCTCGGTGACCTCTCTGCTTCTAGAACCGACCGACTGTGGGGTCCTCTGAGGTTTCCAGAGCAAAGGCCGTTTCATCGGAGGGGTGCACTTAGGGCCCCTCACGCAGCCAGCGACCCTCGCCTCCAGATGACCCGAACCTCCTCGTGTTTCCAGCCGGCAGGAGGGAACTCGGAAACCAGGTTGGGCCCTCAAAACAGACCTCGCTCAAGGCAGGTTCTCGGGGGACGGGGCCGCACTGAAACATGGCGCCGTGATGCTTCGTCTCTGTTCCGTGGGCGGTTGGTTAAACGGCGCTGGCATCGGGAGTATTGATTAAAAACCTGTGACCGAGAACCATTTCGGATGACTGTTCTGACGGCTCACGGGACTTGGGTGACTTCTCCGCGAGGCTGGTCTCCTCCCTCCCGTGTCCGCTGACTCACACCCGGCTGTGGCCACAAAAGGCAGGAAGAGATGTCGGCGCGAGCGGCGGCGAATGCAACACGTCGGCCTGTCGCTGGTGTCCTCAGAGGCCCGACGCCCGCTCCCCACCGGGTACAGGGAGCCTGGTGGACCTGCCGGAGCGTGGAGCATGGTGGGGGGACGTCCAGGGACCCCACCCAGAGCTCGTGACGGTCACAGAATCACTCAGCAGCCTGTTTGTTCCTCCTTTGTGGCGGTTTCCGGTTCTGTGACCATCAAAAAGTAGCGTCAATTCAGCGGGGCCCTTCAGTTGTGACAGCAGAAAAGCAAACGTCAAAATCCCCCGCTGTTGCTGCTGCTGGAAACAGAAGCGAGTGCAGCACGCAGGTGCTTTGCTGTCACCCCAGTTCCTCGCCCGATGCCCACTGAGGGGCAGTCTACGGGGCGGCGCGCCCACCGCACGAGGGACCCCCGGCCCAGACGGCGGCAGTGCCGTCACAGGAAGGCTCCTGCAGCTGTGCTGCGGCCGGGGAGGAAAGGGGGCGCGTTTGGTTAAACATCCTGCGTCAGGAGCACCCCGGGCAGGCCAGGCCCCGAGTCAGAAAACCAGCCGCGGAGCCGGTGGAGAGCAGGGGGCAGGGGCGGGGAGGGGAGGCTGGGCTCCGCTGCAGGATGCGAGCTGGAAGGTGGCCTGCGTGTTGGGGTTCTGAGGTGCCTGGGTCGGAACTGGGGCGTCGGGGTCCCTGAGCTCCTCCGCTTCTCACGGACAGCAAGCGAAGCGCTCGCGGAGATCACTGACGTGGGGGGTGAGATTCGAAGAGGCCGGCGGCGTGGACCTTCCAGCGGAACCGCTAGCCTGTGACACGCGTTAGTGGGGCTGCAGCGTGCTAGCTGACTAACGTGCACTCGTGGATTTGCGCGTGCGAGCTCGGCGGCGGCGGCGAGAGAGAAGGCGACCGAGTGCCCAGTGCCTTGGTTTGTCCCAGTCGTCGTCCTGGCCGCGCCTCGGGCCCTCCCGCTGCCGCTCGCTGGTTCGGGACACGTGAGATTACTCGGTCCCCGTAAGGGCTCCGCTAAGCAGGCGTGCGTCTCGGGTCTTCCGTCTCCCCAGCCGATCCACCTGGCAGTCTCCCTTCGGTTCCACTGAGAAGTTTGAAACTCCCGCCAGAAGACGTTGTCGTCTAACCGGCGCCCGGCCCCGCAGCCCGCCCTGCACCCGCACAGCCCTCTCTTGCCCTCACTCCTCCTTCCTTCCGTCCTCCCAAAGGCAGCCCGCCACGGGAGCGTGGACCCCCCGCCCCTTGGGGATCCACAGGGTCGTCACCCTCCTCTGTGCCCCGGATCACCGTCTCTTTGGCCACGTGGTCGCCGTGTCCCCCTCAGCCCCAGCAACCCCTGTGCTCCTCCAGCATCTCACCTCCGTTCACAGCCACACCCCCACCCGGGGCCTCTGTGACTCTGTCCTCAGGCCCCTTCCGCGCGTCCTCGGAAACCCACGGCAAGGGTGCACGGGGCCTTCACGTCACCTAGACCAACGCGTTTCTGCCCACCTCTTACTCCGTGTCTTAGAGGCTGCTTTCTGCCGCTTTCCTTTCTTTCTCTTCCTTCTCTCCTCCCTTCCTTCTTTTCTTCTCTCCTCCTTTCCTTCCTTCCCTCCTTCTTCCCTTCCTTCCCTCCTTCCTTCCTTCTTCCCTTCCTCCCTTCCTTCCCTCCTTCCTTCCTTCTTCCCTTCCTCCCTTCCTTCCTTCTTCCCTTCCTCCCTTCCTTCCCTCCTTCCTTCCTTCTTCCCTTCCTCCCTTCCTTCCCTTCCTTCCTTTCCTCCTTCCTTCCTTCCCTCCTCCCTTCCTTCCTTCCCTCCTTTCTTTCTTCTTTCCTTTCTCCCTTCCTCCCTCCCTTCCTCTCTTCCTTCCTTCCTTCCTCCCTCTCTTCCTTCCTTCTTCCCTTCCTCCCTCCCTCCCTTCCTTCCTTCCTTCCTTCCTTCCTTCCTTCCTCCCTTCCTTCTTTCCTTCCTCCCTCCCTTCCTTCCTTCCTTCCTTCCTCCCTTCCTTCTTTCCTTTCTCCCTCCCCTCCTTCCTTCCTTCCCTCCTTTCTTCCTCCCTCCTGTCCTGTCTCCATAGTCCTCTACCCTCTATTTATAAACACTGGGCACTGTCAGTGATTGGTCCTAGATCACTTCCACAGAACCGCTCACGCCAGAAGTTCACGCATCACCCTGTGGGCTGACACCCATCCCCACGGCTTCCAGCACTGCCCATAAGCTAATAAACGCCATTCTTTTCCGTCTGGACCTGTCTGTCCTCCAAGTTCAGGGCCCACGGGTGCCACAGCCCCGGTGCCCGGGCACTCGGACGGCTCGAGGGCGGTGCACGCTGAAGAGATCTGGAACGGACTCCTCTGACCCTCACCGATGATATGTTTCTGTGACATCACAGCCAAGTGATTTAAAACAAGCAAACCTAAAAAAGCTCTTAACTGATCATCTTTATAGTGTTTTAAACGAGAGACGTGTGAGTAAAGAATGAATAATTTTCACTCTCACGGCCCCCACTCATCCCACTGACACAATCAAGGTGAAAGTCATCATCCAATAACTCTCTCTACACCAATTTAAAAAAATGCTCATATTTAGGTTTTTACTTTATTTTTTCCAGAATGGGACAACATCAGAGCAACATTTAGCGCTTTTTTTCCACAGTACGACTCACTTTCCAAGGAGTCCCACGGCCGCCCTTTGATTCAATACAATCCGCGCTCCCTAGTCACAGGCAGCATCCCACGCCAGGGCCGTTCAGCATGTCCTGGTTACCGGTCCCTGACACGGTGGGCTGGGGCCGGGGCTGGTGTTCCAGTGCAGCCGTGGCTGTGCCCCAGGCCGCTGCTGGCGGCCCCCAGCCGAGGGGCCCTGGGCCGCCAGTGAGATCTCTCAGGTCCTCTGCAGTCCAGGTGGTCCCGGGTTGGGTGGGGACTTCCTCCCACTCGGGATCGGCCAGCATCACTGACGCTGACCGCAGGCAGCGGCAGAGATGTCCGGGAAATGGGTCCTCTGGTCAGAAAGGCACATCCGGTCCGCAAGTCTATTTCCGTGGGGGAGAGCGGGGAAGAGGCCCGGGCAACAACACACACACACCAGTGTGTGAGTTGTGTTTGTGTGCGTGTGCGTGTGCGTGCGTGTGAGCTGCTCTTCCTCCTCCCCTGTTAGAGCGTGAGCACAGAGAGGGCGGGTGTGTGCCCGCTTCATCGCTAATACGTGGCCAGCCCGTAACACCCTCCCTGTCAGGGTTCACTACACATGCGTTAAACGACTGAGTGAAAGAAAAAAGGGGCCCTGGCTGGCGTAGCTCAGTGGATTGAGCGCGGGCTGCGAACCAAAGTGTCGCAGGTTCGATTCCCAGCCAGGGAACATGCCTGGGTTGCAGGCCATGACCCCCAGCAACCGCACATTGATGTTTCTCTCTCTCTCTCTCTCTCTCTCTCCCTTCCCTCTCTAAAAAAATAAATAAATAAAAATCTTTTAAAAAAAAAGAAAAGAAAAAAAAGAAAAAAGGGGATTCTCCAGGTGAAAAAATAAAAGTTCAGAGAAGCCCATCACTTTGGCTGTTCCTGGAGGCTGGGTGGCCCTCTCTCAGGAAGGCGGGCAGAGGGACCCCCCTCAGACGGGTGGGCGGGCAGGGTCGCTAGCCAGCTCTCTTCCGACACGGACACCGAACCCCCGGGAGTGTGTGATGTTGTCGGGAGTGGCCTCGCTGCGGGGAGCCCGCAGAGCTGCTCTGGGGGGGGCGGGGAGAAGACCCCAAGGCGGATCAGCAGACACACTTTCCTCCTCCCGGGTTCAGACACAGAACCGCCCCCTCCCTCGCTCCCTCCCTCCCGCGCTGCGGGCTCACTCCCACAGCCCCCCCCCCCCCACAGCGGGCGAGACAGGCGCTCACCCGACCGGCTCACGCAGGGCCCGCGAGCCCGGGCGTATTCTAGATCAGCCCTTCCCAGGCGGGGAGAGGGCGCACCGGGGGTCGAAAGGAAAGTGTCCCGGTGGCTGCAGGCTGCAGGGAGAGCGAAAGCACGCAGGCGGCGAGTGATTTAACGCACGCCTCCCCCTACAGACCGAGTCCCATCAGCCCCTGAGTCTCCCGGCCCGCCAAGGGTGGGCGTCTGTGACTGTTAATACAGTGTACGAGTTTCCTTTAAAATGTTGGTTTTTCTTTAAATTTTTGCACAATAACTAACCCCAAACCTGCTCTTCTTTGTTTCCCAAGATATCGAAGACTTCGAAACCAGAGCGCGAAGCGCGGTGTCCGTCCGGGAAGGCCAGGGCGTGGTGCTGCTCTGCGGCCCGCCGCCCCACTCCGGAGGTACGGCAGGCGGGCGGGCGGGCGGGCGGGGGGTCGCGCGGGGACGTGCTTCCATCCATCGGCCTTGAGCCCATGGCAGCCCTTCGTCAAATCGGAGGGACCTTGAGAGCCTTTCAAGTTCATCCAACAGCACCCGAACAGTTCCAATCCAAATCTTTTCTTTTAAAAAATTATTTAAGCAGCCCTGGCCAGTGTGGCTCAGTGGATTGAGCAAAGTCTGCAAACCAAGGGGCTGCTGGTTCGATTCCCAGTCAGGGCAGAGGCCTGGGTTGTGGGCCAGGTCCCCAGTGGGGTCCATGTGAGAGGCAAGCACACATGGATGCTTCTCTTCCTCTCTCCTTCCTTTCCTCTCTCTCTAAAAGTAAATGAATAAAATATTTTTTAAAATATAAACAATTATTCAAGCAGCCACTCCACCAGCCTGTCCTTGGGAGGAGGCCGCGTGACCCGCAGCTGCAGCGTGAGCACGCACAGGGGTGTCCCTCTGCGACCTGGTGCCCGTCGCCCTGCAGTCCGGGGACGACTCACTCAGCCTCCTCAGGCTCAGTCTCCTCCTCGGTGGAGCAGACACACCCACTGCCACACCCAGGTGGCAGGGCCCTCGGAAGTGGTAGACGAGCCACTGAGCGCAGACTGATGGGTGGGGCGAGCGGTGCTTCAGTCCAGCAGCGGCGGCTGGGACTGTTCCGGTTTTCTCACTGGGCTCCGCGGCGCGGCCAGCTCCACCCTCCCGTCAGCGACGCCGCATGAGCCACCGTGGGCAGCGGAGAGCCTCCCCATCCGTGGGCAGCAAAGGCCGGGCGGCGCCAAATCAGAATGGCTTCCGGCGATGGAGAACTCAAGCTGCGAATGCCAGTCTCGACTTTGGAAGTGTTTCCAGGGATTCCTGATTCTTTGTCCCTCGGGTTGTACTTTGTCAAATCCCTCCAATCTGGTAAACTTGGTAGAGCGTCCTGCAGCAGTGAGCCCGGAGGAGGCAGTGCAGACACATCCCGGAGTCGCCCGCTCTGGGACAACCCCGCATCCCGCCGTGTGCACTGCGTGCCGGTCAGGGCGACACTGACAGCAAGGACGCACACAGCGCGGATCCGAGTGCATCCTGTGCATCGGCCTCTTCAAGCCCTCGCAGCTGCGTGAGGGAGGGGCGATGAGGGTTCTCGTCGCTAAGTGGGGTCGGGGGTCGGGGGGTGCTCAGGACCCGTGCCCAGGTCGCGGGGCCGGTCGGCCGAGGGGGCTGAGCGCCCACCCACCAGGCCCTCCAGCTCCCCGCCCGCAGCAGGCCCTGCCCCTCGCGGCCTCTGTGGGAGCCGGTTTCCTTTTCCCCGTGATGTTAATCCAAGTCGTATTTAAGACTCCTTAAAAACCTGAAAAGGTCTTTCCATCCTTTTCATGTTCCCCCAAGCATCGTGAAAGGCAGATAGGAAAAGAAAAGGAAATGAACTAGAACCCCACGGTGGTTTGATCCGACATCATCACAGAGCAGCGGGGGCATTCTGCCCACCCAGCATGTCGCAGGCCACCCGCAACGTTTCCCGCACCACCGTCTGGGGCGGACCAATAGCGTCCCGGAGCTCGCGGAACCAGGACAGCACTCGTCTGTCAACCGCAGCGGACTTGTCTCCGGGGTCGTGACCTCAGGTGGCAGGGCCTCCTCCAAACAGGGAGATGAGAGATGCAAACATTTGCAAACGATGGTCATATTTTAAAGAGGCCGCCAGGCAGGACACCCTTTCCTGTCCCACCTGGTCACCTGCCAGCGTTCGAGAGTACGGTGACCTTCCGAAGCCAGCAAGGCCCTCATCACGGGGGGCGGGGGGCGGGGAGGGACGGGGGGCGGAGTCTCTGCATCGGGCGGGGAGGTCAAGTCCCAGAGATGCGCCAGCAGCCACACGCGAAGGCTTCCTAACCGAGGAACCAGCCCCTGCTCCGAGCAGGCGATGCCGGGCTGGCCCGAGGCCACGTTCTCCCACGTCGTCCGTGAAGTCCTAGCCAGGTCTGAACGCACCTGTCAGCGCCGACTCCACGCAGGTGTCGCAGGAGGTTCCCCACCGAGGGCTCCAGGACACGCACGGCTCTCTCGTCGCTGCCAGCCTGGCGTCTGGGGCACATGCTTCCATTCTCCACGGCCCTCCCAGGTCGAAACGGGGGCGGGGGACACGGGCAGGTGCCTTTGGCGCAGTGATGCAGACAGGCGTCCGTTAGTTAGAGGGGGAACGTATCAGTGACACTAACGGCTGCCGAGTTGCCCGGAACCAGCCGTCTGAAGGCATTCCATTTAGTCCCTCGTTCGCACTAGTCCAGTAAGTAAAAATGATAATTTTTATTTTTTATTTTTTTAAAGACAAGTTTGTTTGTTAAAGCAAAGTTTTCTTTTTTAAATATTTTATTTATTTAGTTTTAGAGAGGGAAGGGAGGGAGAAAGAGAGAGAGAGAAACATCAATGTGCAGTTGCTGGGGGTCGTGGCCTGCAACCCAGGCATGTGCCCTGGCTGGGAATTGAACCTGTGACACTGGTTCGCAGCCCGTGCTGAACCCACTGAGGTACGCCAGGCAGGAGAATGATCATTTTTAAATGAGGAAGCCGAGATTCCGACAAACGGAGTGAACGGTTTTTCCGTCAGCCAATGAAGGCGAGATTCCCACGCAGGGCTTATGGACGTCAAGAAACACCGGTGGGCGGGGGACTCGCTGGCGGTCTCCCCCGTGAACCCCCGGGGTCCGCTCTCAGACCTCCGGATCGGCCAAGAGCTGCAGGGTGTCTTACGTGGCTCCTTTAAAAGAGTTCCTGTTCTTCTCCCTGCCTCGCCTTCCTGTGAGGGCGAGTTGGGCCAAGAGGGACTTCGAGGAAGAAGACAGACGTGTTGGCTGGGTGGCCTGCAAACTGCGCAGCCGGGCTAAGGGGGCCAGCTCCAGAGACACAGAGATCTTTTCCGTCTTCGTGGTTTGTCTTCCGTGGCGGGTTTCCGATGGATGGAGGGGTGGGTAGGTAGGTAGGTAGGTAGAGAGATGGAGTTTCCCATTGCTGTGGACAGAAGACCCCACGCAGCGCCCACCCCACCTGTCAGAACGCGGTCCCGTGGTCTGCAGCCCGGGGCTCCGTGCGCCTGCGCTCTGCGCTCAGGGTCTCACGGGAACGAAGCCGGGTGGTGACGGCAGGACACTCGTTTCCGGAAGGTCTGAGGAAGAGCCGTCTGCTGAGCTCCCCCGACTGTTGGCTGAATCTGGTCCCTTGCGGTTGCAGGACGAAAGTCCCCACCGCCTTGCTGGCCGGAGGTGAAGGGCCACCGGCATCTTCTCTCAAGCGCTGCCTGCATTTTTGCCACACGTCCCTGTCCATGCTCAAAGCCAGCAACAGGGACTCCTCGACGATGCCACCTCCCTCTGATGGCAGGTCTCCATGGCCAGGAGGAGCCCCATCCCGTGTGGGGCTCACGGACTGGATCAGGTCACTTTCCTCGAAAGTCAGCCGTGATGCTGAACGGAACTGAACCGAACCCTCTCGTCACGGGTGTGACATCTGACCCCACTCGCAAGCCAGTGGGGGCAGGGGTCAAGGGGGTCATTTGAGAACGCTGAGCCCCTGCGTGTCTGGAGGTCAAGGCGGCCCTGTCTGAGCAGCCCAGCATCTACTCCGTGGCCCGGGTTGGGCTGGCGCGATCTGAGTAACTGCCGAGTCGTGCAGGCCAGCCGAGCGCCCGTGGGGCCAGGTCTCCCGGGGAACAGGCGCACCTGCCCAGAGGGGAGACTCGCTTTCTGAAAACCAGTGCACTGCTCGGGCACCACCACGATGATGCCCCCACTCCGCCCCGTGGACGCCCCGAGTCCCAGAGCCGGTTCTCCGGGCCCCCAGCTGCCCCCCACCCCGCACTGCCGGCTCCCACCCCGCCCCAGGAGGAGCGTGTGCTCACGCCCAGCCCGCCCCGCAGCACTCCTGCCCGGCAGCCTGCCACCGCCCGCACGGCCTTGGTCCACCCCACGGCACCGCTGCCCGTGTCGGGCGGACGCGCCCTGGTGGGGGCGCTGCCCTGCACAGCATGGCCGTGCGGCAGGGTGAGTGAAACAGGGCCAAGGACACTGCCGAACATCGCCGGCAGACAGCCGCCCCCCCCGCCCCGCGCCGGAAACCGCCGTGGGACCCCATCCCTTACCTCCCCCGGAGGGGTCTCCCCGAGGGGATGGCCTGGCCCTCCACCACCCGCCCCTCCACCACCCGCCCTCATCCTGAGCATCCGGGGTTCCTAGGCAGTCGCCCCAAAGCGGGCTGTGTTTTCTCTCCTCCTGCGGGGGGCCGGCCGGAATGAGGCGGCGAGAGGAACCCGGGCCAGGAGGCCGTAACTCAGGAGGGACCCATAAAACCCAGGTGGCCCAGCAGTAATTGTGGGACAAATAGGGACTCAAATCGGGGCGGTCGTAAAGGTGCCGGCGGTTCTGCGGCTTAGCGCCGCTATTAACGGCTCCGGCCAGGAAAGGAATCATTTTCCTTGGATTAAGTGTTTGCCAGCTGAGCCGGCAGAACCGCGATTTACGGCCGAAAGCCCGTCACATCCAACCCGGAGCGCCGTGCACGGTTTGCAGTAAAGCACACTCCTTCTGGAACGTTCCAAAGGGGGGTTTTCCACTAAATCTGAGCGCCACACTTCAAAGCCTCCCCTGGTGCGTTTTCTCCTTCCAGAGCCCCGCCGCCGGTTTTGATCCCCGCTCCTCAGAGCCAGCAGCAGCCACGGGGTCGAGCCCGTCCTTTGCGGCCCCCTTCACACGGGGTGCTTGCCCGCCAATAAAAGCCGCGGCTCGTGTAATGGCCCTAATTGCACGTATCCTTGGTGTTTGCCTTTTACGTATCGCAGTGCAAGAGACAGGGCTGCGAGAGATGTCAAAACACAACCGTGCTCCAGGGAAATGGGATCCACCGCATGCTTGAGAGAGCCGCAGACAGAGGCCTTGGCGGCTTCCCGCGGGGCTGCCGCTCGGGGGCTGACGCGATTGCGGAGGCCGTTGTCACGCGGCTGCAGAGGCGCTTGAGGAAGCACCCGTGGCCACTGGGGTGTAATGACACTGCTGCCTCGTCACCGGCGCGGGCACCACGGCCGTTAATACCAGGGAGATGATGGCGTGCGCGGCGGCCGAAATATTTTTAAAAAGCAATGGTTTCCGGTAAAGTGGTTCATGAATTATACATTTAATTAAGGAAAGCCAAATGGGAAGGATTTTAAACTTCCAATTTGCAGGAGGTTTTTTTTTTTTTTCCCTTCCCCCATTAAAAATATATATACACTGAGCTGGCAGGGGCTGGTGACGAAACCAAATAGATTAGGTTCCCACTGCAGGCTGGCTGTGCAAAAGGGGGGGTGTGTGCAGAGGCGGCCATGGAGAGAGGGAGCCACGGGGCCCCTTCAGCCACCCCAGAAGGCTGCCCCAGGGCCTCTGCACCCCGGTCACTGGTGGCACCGTTGTGTCCCCTCTGCAAACTCCCCCGGAAGACGAGGAGGCTGGGCTGAAACCTCTATCCGCCTCCCGCCCCACACAGTCCGCAGCCTGTGACCGGGGGCGCCCCCCTCCCCAGGCGGCCGCTGCCGGAGGCAGGTGTTCCCGGGGTGGGCACCGCGTCATCGAACACGGGCACCGCGCCAGGAGCCCCAGTGTGCTGTGGACCTCAGCACCTGTCAGGGTGGAGCCCCAGACCCCAGAGCCAGCACTCGCCGGGGAACTGGTTGGCAACGGCAGCCTGGCTTCTCCCACCCACAGGAGGAGCCCCGGGGTGGGGGGGGTGGAGCCCAGAAGCAGCGGCGCCAGCAGCCCTGCCGGCCACCCTGACGCCCGCGCGCTCGCTGTGACACTCGGCTCCGCCGGAGAGGCCGCTGTGGACAGCGTCCCCTGCTCGAGGTTTCACGAACGGGCTGCATTCCCTGCTGGTGTTCAGTGTACACGCGTCGGGGAGAACGAGACACGGTTCAGCGCACTCAGCTAGGGAGCGTGGCCTGCTCAGCCAGGAAGCCACCGCCTCCCACGGCCCAGGGCGCCCCGGGGTTGCCCCGCCACGTTCTCGCCACAGCGGCCAGTGGCTCCAACAGCCCCCGGGGCCGCGGTGGACGGCGCCGGCCTGAGCACAGCGCCAGCCCGCCGGGAACGAACCGGGCCAGCCGGGTCAGGCCAGGCACGGAGAGTGGACCTGCGGCGCCAGGGGTCCGGACACCGGCCCTGTTTCTGGGCCCGAGGAAGACGAGACTGGACCTCCCCGAGAGCGGGGTCCATGGGGACGAGACGCTGGACGCCTGGGCTGCCTTCTCTTCTCACCCAAACAACCCCCCATCAGACCTGTCCTCCCTCCCGGACCCCTTAATGCTTTTCCCACGGCCCACACGGACACCTCTCCCACACGGACACCTCTCCCACAGGCAACAGGACGATCGTCCGGGTTGCGGGCAGGGCTGGGCACTCGCGGAGCTGGGGGGAGGGGGGCGTGAAGGGAGGCTGGGGGCCAGGAAGGGGAGCGGTGGCGAGCCCCGGCCAGCCCGGAGGAAGAGGGCCGGCTGCACGGAAGGACAGGATGGCAGCCTGAGGGGGCAGCCGCGGACTCCTCGTCTGAAGGGTCCTGGGCCCCCCACATCCGCCCACCCCCCTCAGCCGTCGGCAGATGACCAGCCCCGCACCCTCCCGCTCCAACCGTGCGTTAGCAGCGGCTGCACAGGACGCGTGGTTGGGGTGGTGACACAGGCGTGAAATGACAAAGCTCTGGGTTTTTTTTTTCATTCTTTACATAATCTTCCCTATTTCTGGACCACACTCTTGAAGCAGCTTCTCGATGTTCCGGGATGGGAGGGCACGGAAACCGGTGGAAGACGTCAGCGGCTGGGGCGAGCGGGAATTTGCCCCGGGAGAGAGGGAGGCTCCTGCCGCTGGTCCCGGGATGACAGGGGAAAGAAGAACAAAGACTGGGGGGCCCCGCGGGGCTCCCTGTGATTTCTGTCCAGGGAAAGGGGTGACCTTGGCCCTCGGAGAGCCGGCGCTGCGCTCTCTCCCGGACAGCTCCTGAACAAAGACCCCGAAGCTGAGGCGCCAGGCAGGGAGTAGTCTCAAGACGGGGTTCGCCCCGCAGAAGGTTCGGAAGGTGCAGAGTCACTGGCTCCGGGGGACCCGCACTCTGTCTTCCCCCCTCCCCGTCGTGGGGACCAGCCTGCGACCCGGACGGCTCTCTGGTTTCAGACAAACGCCCTCCGAACCTCGTGTTGGTGGAGACAGAGCCAGAGGCTGGGAAATGAGGCGGTCAAGGGCATCAGTAGGGACCCTCGGGTGCAGGAGGCCACGGGAAACGCTGAAGGACCCGGGAGGACCTTGCAGAGGGAACCGGAGGTGCAGAGAGTGGGCGCCGGACGAGGAGGTCAGGGCACGTATTCAAGTACGGGAAGGGGGCTGAGTGTGCGCCTTCCTGGGATGCAGCTCAGACTCTCAGGGCGAGGGAAGGAAGTCTGGGGCAGGGCCGGCCGGTCCCAGAAACAGACCCCCCTCCCGTCCGTCCCAGAGGCAGACCCTGCCCCTCTGCAGCAATGCCAGCCCGTCCCGTCCTCTGCCGGGTCCCCGCGGATGGCGGGGAGCACATGACCTCGTCCAGCGGCTGGCGCCACCGCCCAAAGTTCCTGCGGCTCCCGGCAGAGGCAGACAGCACTCTGCCCCCCCACCCCCGGGCCGGCCACAGCCCCTCCCTCCGCCTCCTGGGGGTCTCGGGCCGGATGGCCGCACCATTTCCCACCCGCACGGGGGTCTGCTTAAACGCGAGAGAATGCCACATCCCACCGGGACAGCGGACACAGACCAGGCCCACGGGGGCACGGCAGCGTTCTGACGGGGGCTACGGGGGGCACAGGGCGTGCACGTGGGGACGCCCCCCCCCAGGAGCCTAACGCTTCTCCCTCCCATTGTCCAGCCCTGTCCTATGCCTGGGCCATCAACGACAGCCCTCTGCACGTGCAGGAGGACGGCCGGCGGTTTGTCTCCCAGGAGACGGGCAACCTGTACATCGCCAAGGTGGAGCCGTCCGACGTGGGCAACTACACCTGCGCCGTGACGAACGCGCAGGCGCAGAGGAGTGTGCGGGGCCCGCCCACGCCGCTGGTGCAGCGCCCGGACGGTAAGACCGCGGGGGTCTCCGGAACGCCTGGTCCAAGGCGGGATGCCGGGGGAGGTCTGGGCACTTTCTGCCTCCTTCGGGGTCAAAGTGGCCGCCTCTCGCAGGAGCCGAGGGGCACGTCAGAAATGTGATGAAACTCGGGACTTTTCAAAAATACACCCAAAATGTCTGTACCTGACCCACGATGCGGTCCAGGGGGCGTGACCCTGGGTGTGCTGCGCCTCCTGTGCTCTGGCTCGGGGGCAGCCACCGTGGCTGTGCTCGGGAGAACGTGGGGACTGTTTTGGAACCCACGCTGCGTGTTTGGAAGGCAGGTGTGTGCGTGCGTTCATGGGTGGCTACTGCCAGACATATTAATTCAATTAATATCTTCTTAATGAACACTCGATACGGCTTTTCTTTAATGCCTTTCTTTTCCAGGTTGGTCTTTTTTTTTCTTTTTTTTTTTTGCTCACCTTTTGTTTACCCGGCTGGCAGAGCAGGGAAATATTCCCATCCCAGGGAGGCAGAGCGAGCCGCCCTGGATTATGGGCGTCGCAAAGGGGGATGGAACCCGAGACTCACACCCCTGTAGCCCGGGAAACGCCGGCCGGCCGGCCTCTCTGGAGCCGTGTGGCCTAATCCAGTCGTCGCGGGGATAAGACTTAGAGGGTAGAACACGCAAGGAAGTCATCCAAGCAGAGGAATCCCCCAGCTGATTCTTTAATTAAACGTTCACCGTGGGGAGCGCACTGGCGGAGAGGCTGCTGGTGCGGTTTATGGTCAGATCCTGGGCTCGAAACATACGAATGCCTCACCTCGTTCCCCTCCTCTCCGGGGGGCCCGGAGAAACCGAGAACACCACGCTAACGATGGCCGCCGCCGTGACACAACGCGCCGCGTGCAGGGAGCTCTTGGGGCAGAGCGTTGGTGTCGCAGTCACTCCCCACCACCCAAAAGGGCTGCGTGGTCTGGATTCAGAGCTCGGTGACCACTGCCCTCTTCGGGGAGACCTCTCGCCGTGCCCGGGGTGGGGGGTGGGGGGGCTCATGAGGCAAGAACACGCCCAGAAATTCCACTCTGTTTCCCCACTTCTCTCCATTTGCTCTCGGCGTCTGCTTCTCCCCCTCTGGGCTCCTCCACTCCTGCACCCTCTCGGCCCCAGCACACCGGTGGTGACGGGGGCCAGAGGCATTGCATGCAGTGGAAGTACTTGCTCAGGAGATGTCAGAGGCCAGGACGACGGGAAATGTCAGACCCGCCCATTTAGTTGAGTAACATCGTACTTCCCACCCCTCTCCCACGGCCTTCCTGAACGGGTGGAAGGACCAAGGCCTTAAACATGAGGTGTTTCTGTTTGTGTACATTTGGTCACTTCTGCCTTTTGTGCTGTTGTGCTGGCCACCAGTAACCACTTATTTTAGGAACACGTTACTCCAGTGCTCGCTACATGAGTGAAAAGATGATCAGGTTTTTGGAGAACCATTGGTGGAATTAGTCAGGCGAACGGGGCAGACCTGGGGACACAGCACCGTCTGTCCCGGCTCATCTAGCAGGTGGCGTGTTTACGACGATCAGACCGCAGTCCCCCGCTCGGCTTGGCCCGTGTCCACGGCTCCTCGGTGGGCACGTAAAAACTACAACAGCAAGCGTGTGTTTTTAATATAAGTGTACGGCACACTCATTTGGCAGTAAAGCCTGAATGCAACGACATAAGCACATTTATGGCTCTGTCGACCCCAATGGGCATGGTAACTTCATAGGTTTTGTTGCGGAAAGACTGATGTTTTGGAGGAAGTGGAAGGAGCTGTTGCAGACTCCTGACACTGTTCACCGGAAATGCCTTTAGTCCTGAACCTGCCTGCCCCCCCACCCCCTCAGGTCCATGCAGGGTCCCGGGGCCGCACGTCTCTGAAGGGAAACTCTCGAGTTAACTCAGAAGCACTCTAGACACCGGGTGCACTCAGCTCTTGATCGGCGACAAGAGTTCCTCTGTGGCGCTGATGCAGAGACCAGGGACACGGGGACGCCCCTTCTCCGACCCTTGGCTGTGTCCCAGGCGTCGGTCGGGGACGAGGGGCGCGATGGGTCCCTCAAACAGCACCGAGGCCCTTTCTGTCTCCTGGTCACTCACTAAAGCGCAGAGGAGCATCGTTCACCGAAGGACCAGATGCTCCGAGGGTGGTTCCTGACGCGCCTGCTGCGCAGAAAACCCCAGAAATGCTGCTCTCTTGGTGTCTAACAGGTGCGATGGGGGAGTACGAGCCCAAGATCGAAGTGCGCTTCCCCGACACGGTGCTCGCCGCCAAGGACTCGACTGTGAAACTGGAATGCTTCGCCCTTGGAAAGTAAGGCTGTCTTGTTTTGTTTTGTTTCCCGGTGTTTTAATTTGGAAAAGAAAAAAAAAAACGTTTTGTTATTCACACATTGCTCTAAGGTGCATCACCAAGTAGATCTCAAATGCTGGGGGAACGCGAAAGCTTCTGATTGGAGCTCAGGCAACAGGCCTGATGCTCTGCAAGTGGTCGGGGCTGCGGTTCTCCCCGCAGTTGCTGGCGCTCACTCTGGGTGGGCGCGTTTAGGCAGCACGCTGCGGGAGGGAGGGTGGGCTCGTTCGTGTGAGACGTGGGCTAGTCGCTGCCCCTGACACCCCTCGCTGCCCCCGTGCCTCCCACACACACACCCCACCCGCCCAAGGGTGCCCTTGCCGAAGTAACCAGCAATAACTATAAGTCAAAACCTTGCATTGCAGCTTCCAAGATAAGACCGAGTGAGGGCCACTGGCCACGGGGACGGTCAGAGTGCAGTCAGAGCTGCCTCGCGAGGCGGCGTTCCGTGAGCCGGGTTTGGGGCGCTGATAAGGCCGCCTCGGTCTGCTTTTCCGCACACCATAGTCAGACGTCTCTTTACTTTCGGGGGGTGCAAACTACACTCCGACGCCCACGGGCACCGGTACCCCAAGAACAAAGAGGTGGGCAGGCTGGACCCGCCGTTTCTGACAGTGGGTGCCCACAGGAGCCTGGGCGCAGGGTCCGAGGAGAGGCGGCCGGTCTGGGCGAGGTCTGGCGCCCCTCTCTCGCGGCCCCACCCCGGCCAGCCCCCAGGCGGGAGTGAGTCTGCATGTGCCAGGGTGGCCTAGCAGTCAGGCGGTAGCTGTCGGCCGAGTCACCTGGGGCCCCAGTGCCGGCCCCCTCGCTCGCTCTCAGTGCAGCCAGCGCCCATGCCGGGGGGGGGGGTGGCGGCCAGACAGGAAAGCGCCCCCTTGGACAGCAGCAGGCCGGCACCCACCTCCCAGCCGTGGGCCGGCGGCCGAACGGGCCGGCGGCCGAGCCACGGAGCAGCAGGGCCAGCCCCAAGGTCGCGGGGCCCACAGACGAGGGGGCGCTCAGTCCCCCGGTACAGTCTGAACTGCTCCGTGTCGGGTTTCTGAACTTTCTTTACTTCTGCACAGCCCAAACCTGCGGACGTGTGGGAAGAGTGATTAATACCCAGACAACCACGCTGACCACGTTTCAGTCCAGCCTGCTGTGAAACTGCGGGGGGGGGGGGCAGGGGAGAGGACGAGGGTGCAGTCAGGACACTCCGACCCCCGCCCCCACCCGTGGAACTCAGTGTCCCGCTGCGCTCCGGGGCCGGTCACGGGCCGTGAGACGCCACTGGACGTCCCCGGGAGACGTGGGCTGACCGCCCAGACAGGACACGCGAGGCCTCAGGCCGTACGAGGGAGGTCGCTGAGGCAGATTCTCACGGAGAACTCAGAAACACGCAAAACCGCCCCTTCTCGCTGGTTAACCTCGCGGTGACAGAAACCAGCGACGCGTTCCACACTGAGAACCAGTAAAACCGTACACAGTAAGATGTGTCGTCCCAAGAACCCATGGGGACACCTAAACTTGACCAGATTAGGGTTTGCGACATTTGGCCCAGGGAAATTTGAGTTAGAAAAATGATGATTGGAAAGCTCTCAAAACGATAAATCTGAAGTGTATGTAAAAAAAAATGATACATTAAATGGCACACTGTTAGGACTGTACATAATAAACCCCGCTTGACCTCCCACGGCCCAGACTTCGGGGGGGGGGCAGCGACTCCCTCTCCCCGGGGGCCTCGCAGCCGTGCTGACCTCAGACTGCACACTCAGCTGTTCTCGTTGGTTCGACGGGGCAGCCCCTCAGCTGGCTGAGCTGCACACTCTTCGCTCCGGGAGCCGCCCCGAGACGCTCAGGTGTCCGTGTGTGCAGACGCCGCCGGACAGACCGACAGACCGGCAGACTGGGTCCCCTTTGGGGAGAAGCCAGGCCCATGCGCTGGCTGAAGAGCCCCAACCCGGCCCCCTCTGTCCTTCTCCCCTGCCCCGCCAAGCAGACGACCCCCCTCCTTCCTTCCTCCCCCCTTAATCCAGGGCCTGGCCGTCAGCGCTCCCGGGTGTGACTAAAGCCCGCGGCCGCCCCGAACGCTCCCGAGTACTTACCTCAGGGTGCCCCCACGGAGGGCTGTGTTTACGTACACGTGGCTCTCGTGGCTACTTTCTCTGATTTGTGGAGGAAGAGAAACCCGGCCTGGCTTTCAGAGTCCAGCGATAAGTCCGAAGTCTGGCCAGGGCGTTTCCAGGGGTTCCGGAACTTTCAGAGGACGGAGCCGAGGTCCGAGGTCTGCGTTGCTTCCCACACGCGTGGGTGACGCCGTAGGCTGCCCCATGGGAAGGCCATGCAGGGACCGCGCGGGGGCGAGGGGTGTTCAAGTCCGACAGGTGCGTTCAGGTGCTTGTCTTAGCTGAGATTCCTCATGCCGCGTCGAGAGGAGGAGGCGAGAGGAGAGATCCTTGTCTTATTCCTTGTTTAGTGTGATTCCATTCCCTCTCGCACCATCGGGGATGATGTCAGCCCTTTGTTTTTTGTGAGCATTCTTCAGCCAGTCCAGGAAGCGCCCCTCTCTTCCCAGTTTGCTTTGAGCTTTTACTGGGATGGGTGTCGAGTTTTTCCAAGTGTTATTTCTACACCAGTGGATGTGGTCATGTAATTGTTGTCGCTGAGGAGTGGATCGCTTACATTAATTTGCAAATATTGAGCCAGTCTTGCACACTTGGAATGAGGGCCATTTGATTGTGGTGTATACATCTTTTCACACACTGATGTATCTAAGTTGTGAATGTTTGTCGAGGATTTTTCCATCTATGTTAATGAGCAATATTGGTCCGTCACTTTTCTTTTTTTGAAACGTATTTCTCTTATTTTGGTATTAGGGAAACCTGGCCTCATAAAAGAAATTAGAAATGGCTCTCTCTGCTTCTGTTTTCTGGAAGAGGTTATAGATAATTATTATTTCTTTCTCATGTGTTTGGAGAATTCATCAGTGACTCTAACGGGGTCTGTGCTTTCTGTTTTGGGAAATTATTAATTATTTATTACATTTCTTTAGTAGTGTTAGGTCTATTCAGATGATTCATTCCCCCGTGAGAATTTTGGTAATTTGTACTTCTCAAGAAAGTGGTTAAAATTTCATCTAAGTCATCTTTTTAATGTCCAGGGGTCAGTAGTAAGGAAGCATTTTTTATTTCTGGTAGTTGTTGTGCCTTTTTTTTTTTCACAGTTAGCGCGGCCTAGAGAAAAGTCAACTTCATTGATCTTTTCGAAGAATCAGCACTGGGTTTTTGTTGATTTTCTCTGTTGGTTTCCTGTTTTCAATGACACACGCTTCCTCCTCAACCACATCGTCCCCACGTGAGCGCGGAACACGCACCCAGTGAGACAGAGGGACTCGGGTGGACGCCGGCGGCAGACCACCGCAGGGGCCGGGGCGGGGGGTGAGCACAAACATGCAGGGCCAGGGAGGAGGCAGGTGGAAATCGGGGAAATGCACAGAGTTTTCCGTGGATCTTCACCGCAAAGCAAAACACAACGCACACAAAAAACACAAAACAAAACACTCCGTGAGTTTTATCTGTTTTTTATTCTTGCAAACGTGTTGAGAAAATTATAAAAATACAGACAAACCAAAAGAAGAAAATAAAATTAGCTTTCTACTGAATGCCTCCCCCAGAGCATAACTACTCTTAGTCTTTTGATGCATGTATTCCTAAATTCTTAATTTTATTTCTGATGCGATTGTTATAATACAGTGCATATTCTCTTGTAAAATGCTTTTCTAAAATCTTTAAGGTACATACTACCACCAGCATGTCCGCAGGTCGTGAACAGACTCCGCCCCTCCTTGGGATCGACAGGGGGGCATTCGGGCTGTATTTCGGCCAGACTTCTAGTTTCCATTTTTTTGTTTCCATGAACGATGATGTAATTAATGTCCTTGTGGCTACATTTTGCCCACCTCCACGTGAACTTCTCAACGTATTTTGGGAAAAGTAGAATTACTGGGGGAAGGGAACTAACGTAACAGCCTAAGCCTTCTGGAGAATGTTGCCAGTTCTCCTGCAGAACAGCCCTGGAGGGTCCCCCTTCAAAACTGGGGACCCCGCCCTCCAGGGACCCCTTTTGATCTCTCGGATACACTGTGAATCCAACGTCAAGCATTGGCTTTCATTTTTTTTTCAAAAGTACAGCCTGGAATTTGACAATGCTTTTCTAAAATTAAACTAAGTAAGGCTGCAAGATGCGCCTGAGGAGAACACAGACTCTCTGGAGCCAGCCCACTGGCCTCTTTGGGCCCGGCCTGCCGCCACCCTTCTCCCGACACCTGCCTTCCTACCTGTCGCGTGGCCGCGGTGGCAGAAGAGAAAGACTTCGTATGCAAGTCGGAACTGAGCCAAAGGAAATGAAGTCACTTGCTTCCTTTCCTCCAGCTGACCTTGGAACCCCCCTCTGGAACCTGCATTAGAATTTGGGGGCACCTCAATATGTTAAAAAAAAAGAAAAGGAAAAAGAAACCCTCGATGATTTCACCGCCTGGCCCGTGGGAGAAAGGAGCTCAATCTCTGTCCACGGGTTGAACACACGAGCTCATTAGGTGGAAACTACATGTCTGAGCGCACGGCACAGACCCGGTTCCACTCTGTAGCCGCCCAGTTCCCGCAGGAGGCGCAGAGGGGGGAGCCCCGAGCCCAGCCTCTACGGTATGAGAAGACAGACCGCGCTTCAAGTCCGTATACTTTTTTATTTCTCTGTGATACTGGGCAGGTGCCCCCCCAGCTCTCCCAGCCCCAGAACGTGCCCCCTGTAGTCCTGCGTCTCACAGCGTCACGTGGCCCCAACGGGGCGCGGAGCACCCAGCCCGGCACGCTCCGTGCTCCGTGACCTGTTGGGCGTGTTCACCATGCGGTGACGGAACACGACACACCGCGGCCGGTGCCCCCTGCATTTCGGTGTCCGCGCGCGGTTATGGCTGCGAGCTGAGC